GATAAAGCAACGGGAGCTCAGCCCGTCACACAGATTCGAACTGCTGACCTTGTGTTCAGCAAGCCCAAGAGGCTCAGTGATTTAGATCACAGTGCCACCCACTCCCCTGGTTTGTATAGACACACAACCAGATATGTAAAATGTTCAAACACAGATTCCCGGAGGGAGAACGCTGGATGATTTTCTACTTACTACTGTTTAAGTTCTTCAGCATGACTCTCATGCTGATTCCTGTCCTGTGCTCCTACAAGGCAAGCAACCCAGCCTGGTTCCCTTTTTATTGTACTTTGAAGCTGTCTGAAATAGATAGATTCAGTTAGAGTTTTGAACTTTCAGTGCAAAGTTCTTCCGGGCAAGACATTTCCTCTTTCTCTCTTGATGCTTTTCTGTAAAAGGCAGGTGATATTTTTGTTCTCTCCCTCCCTCCTCCTCCTCCTGTTCATCTCTCTCTTGTAGCTGTTACCAGAATAAAAGACTGAGAGGGAGGGGAAAGGTTTCACCGGCCTGGAGTGCTGATCCCCTCCCCCCCCCAAAAAAGACAGGAGATTTTGTTCTAATACCACAGTGTCATCTTCACATCGCATTAAGCCATTTAGCTTTCATAGCTTCTCAGCCAGCCCTTGGTTCAGTAGTAACCCCTGTAATCCTTCTTCAAAGGCTTCAAGTAAGCAACAGCTTTTAGAGGAAGTTGTAGCTGGTTGGTAATGGTCTCAGGAAGACCTAATTTCCTGTTGCGTTTGCACATGCTTCTTTTGCGCTGCTTTCATCTCAACTCAAATGAGCCGCAGGCTGCAATCCTGTTACGCTTTCAAGGGAGGAAGTCCCACAGAGCTTAATGGGGCTTGCTTCCCATAGGATTGCATTGTTAGTTGGTTTGGGAAGCTCTAATCAAAAACCTGTGAATCCGGATAGCATTTGACAGCACAATCCCAAGTGTCTCTCAAAAGTAAATCATACTGAATTCATTGGGGTTTTGATCCCAGGCGATGGAGGATAGAATTGTACTGTTAAGTATTTATTTCAAATTATCTATTTCAGAGCAGCTTACGCAAACGGCACATCTTAAAAATACAGACGAAATAAAAAAATACAATAGAAATAGAACCCCACTAACTCAAAAGATATTTCTGTGAACTCCATGCAGTTATCAGCAAGCAATAATTGCTCTGTCTTTGCCAAACATTTTTTTAAAAAGTTGGCCACATGAACTATCTCCTTCCTCTGCACACATTCCAGCTTGTCAACATCCTTCTTAAATTGTGATGTCCAGTACTCCAAGGCTGGTCTGACCAAGGCAGAATAGAGAGGTACTATTACTTCCCTTGATCAGAACACTATACTTCTGTTGATGCAGCCTAGAATAGCATTAGCTTTTGGGCTGCTGCTGTATCACACTGTTGACTTACGTTAAGTTTGTGGCAAGCCAGGTGTCCCTCATCCTATATTTGTGCAGCTGGTTCGTCCATACTGAAATTCAATTTGTTAGTTTGCGCCCAGTTCCGTTAAGGTCATATTGAATCCCAGTTTTGTGTTCTGACATTCCATTTCAAGGTGTATTTGAATGTGCATCTTCACCTACCTTTTGGCACAACTAGTCACACAGAATTCTTAATATTGTTGAATTAGGGTGAAAGCAGCTAAAGGAAGGGTGCATCAGAAACAAAACTGCATTCTCAAGATTCTTCCCTGTTATGGAACTAGACTGCAAAAGCATTTTTAAAAAATGCCCTTCATAGCAAAATTATCTTTTTGATACATGGGGAAGTTATCAACAGTTTCAAAAGATTTCTACATTAATCTGAGTAACGATTACCGGTATGTGCAGTTAAGGCAGTAAAATTCTACAAGTACAATAAAAAGGGAAAATCTAGAGCATCAGCACAGCTATCTGGAGATTAATGCCTGCACCATGATAAAATATTTACATTCATGTGTGCGATTTGGGCTTCTTTTCTGAACTATATACCATTCTCAGTACTATGACCTTCTTCAGCCTGATCATCTAATTATAATTAACACATTCTCCTGATCTTACTGCTGCCATTTCAGGAGGTCATAAAACAATGATGTAATTAGTTACTTAACAGAACCCATGGGCCTGTGCAGGGTCTGGTCTTGGGGGAAAAGTGGGTGGAAATTCTTCTCTTTGTCTCACTCCCTGCCCTCCCCCACTACATATAGCTTTGGGATGCTTCCAAGATTTCAAATTCTCTCCAGTTTTTGAAGTTACACATTACCTGGCCTTGCTTCTGAATTTGAACCAGTACATGAAATTCCACTCCATTGTTCCATTTAAGGGAGCCCCTATTGCTCAGTAGCAGAGTATTTGCTTTGAAGAAAGAAGGTCCCATGTTCATTTCCTGGTATCTCTGGATGAAAGGATCAGGCAAGGGGTGATGAAAAAGACCTTTGCCTGCAACCCTGAAGAATGTGTTTTTGTTGTGTGCGGTTTTTTTATAATCATTTTTATTAGTTTTCAATTACAATAATCCAATAATAGCCTCATTATAAGAATGCCAAATTATAATACAATTACTAATACCAATCATTCAGATGCCAAATTATATAATTTAGGTGGCCCCCACATGCTAGAATTGATGGTTTGATTATTTACTTTATTTCTGTATTCCAAAATATTATTAATTTCAATTACACTCTAGTCAAAATCCCTTATACAACAACTGCAATATTAACAACTTCCATTCGTATCGACACATTAAATGATTTGTAAATCTACAGGTGAAGCATTCAAACTATATCCTTGTTCTTCCTTTGTGTGGCAATTATTCTGTCCGTAATGTTTCTTTCTGTCCTTGAAAAATATTATGTCTATCTCTACCAGCCAAGCCAAATGGACACAGAAGCAACTCACCTGGTAGGATGGACCTGCAGCAATAGCCTCTGTCAGAAGAATTTCTGTGGTGGGAAGGCCAGGACTGCAGGTGTATCAGCAGTATCCCACCTGTGCTCCTGTGTAGCTCTGGCCTCACCTCTCCACCTTTGGTAGTTCTGTCTCTGCTGCGAGGCTATCATTATAACTCCACCCCATCCCACCAGATGACCCACGTCTGGATGAACCAAGAGCCTGACCTGGTTTAAGGAGGCATTTTTATTATTATTTTAAATGATCATCATCCTCTGGGTTCATAACTGAAATGAGGCTTCTTAGCATGTTCCATTGAATGCATTTAGAACCCCGTGCCCCTCAGACCTTTCTACTAAACATGTGAAGATTGATGGTGGAACATACATGCTTGATACACATTTGAACACACTCATGGCCCACATGTGTTGCCCTGAGTGCACAAAGAGGGCTTCTATCTATCTACAGAATCATACGAAGGTCAAAGAACTTTGGAACGGAACCATTCTTCTGACCTGTTCATTATCGCATAGTGAACTTGACAGGTGGTGATTCTGTGTCTAGACTGTACCACTTCAGTCTACAGGTGGGGCCTTACATGATAGAGTGCTCTCTGTGGGAGGGGGCAAAGGAAGCTGCTTTATACTGAGCCAGACAACTGGCCCATCTACTCCAGCATGGTCTATACTGAGTTTTCGTACAAACATGAGCTCCCACCTTGCAGTCTAAAGTTGTATGCTCCAATTTTTCACAGAGGATAAGGGTATTAATGACTACTAGCCATGATGGCTATATTCTGCACCCACTGTTGGAGGCAGTAGGTTTCTGACTGCCAGTTGGTGGGAATTAAAAGTGGGGAGAGTGCTGCTGTGCTGCAGTAGTGCTTTCAGGCTTCCCATGGATATCTGGAGGGCCACTGCAAGAGCAGGTTGTTGGACGAGATTGGCCATTGGAATTTTTGTCTCTGCCTCGCTAGCTCCACTGAACAGAATATTCGGAGGCTGGGTAAGGGTGGGGAGAAGATTTGACCCGCACACTCCCAAATATTTGTGCAAATGTTTCTATGGTCCTTTTACATATATCACAGTTCAGGTGAATAAAGGAGAATCAGCCAAATTTCTATTAGTGTTGATGAAGCAGAGTCATTTTTCATGGAGATAGTGCGTGTGCTACCAGCTTATTGAAAGAGTGCCTCACCCTTTACAATATGCTATTGTGGCATGTATGAATTCAGCAGATGATGATGAATAGTAACCATTATCCCCCTTCTTAACACCAAGACAAATTACTTACACGCAGACCAAAAAGTTACAGTGCCCTGCACATTCCTCCCCCCACATTTTTCCTTTACAGGATCTAGGCTATAGGATTAATTTTCCGCTTCTGCAGAATGCAGCAGCAGCCAGCCATGACCTTATGGCGGAGACAACATCTATGGTATTATTTCAACCATTAGCTGTTTCTCTCTTCTCTCCCAAACCCACCCCCGGTTCAGTTCACTTTTTATTGTTATAGTCATTTGCCGGTACAAAAAGACCAAGTAAAAAGATAAAACTGAAAGCAGGCAATAGATGAGTTTCAAATATCGGTAATGCAATCAGTAGTATTCTCCACCCTCCTGGCTAAAGTAGTTCTTGAAGCCCAGTTCGAAGGGTGTGGGGCGGGTGGAGAACAAAAATACAATAATGAGATAGCCAAGTTGCAACCCAAAGAATGTATCAAGAAATCCACTGCTGAATACAAAGTAGAGATTTGAGACATACCATTCCATGAGACCCTGGCATAAAAGAGTCAAGGGTCCTTCTTTCAACTCAAGGACCCTATTTGCTTCTGAGCAGCTTTCCAGGGACCATTGTAAGTGGTGGGTGGGTGCAGAAGCCAAAGAAGGTGGAGCAATAGATATGAATTCTTCACACTGACACACACTCCTCTCAATCTTGCATCTGGACAAGACAGGACCAGTGTCAGAATTCAAAAAACCATAGCAGTTTGGCAAAAAACCCTTTCAAGTAGGGTGCAAAACAAAGCTGTTCAGGTTTGTCACTTAGGATGGTGTGTGGCCTGGAGAAGAATCTTGAGGACCAGACAGAGAGGTGTGGAGGGATGCCTTTGGCTCCCAGGCCAGATGCTTCCTTCCTTTTTTTTTTTTTCATGTAAATATTTATTGATTTTTGAGAAAAAAGAAAAAGTAAAAAGAAAAAAAAAAAAAACAACATCAACACAAAACACAAAAACCAAGAAAAAGAAAAAAAAATATATACATTACTAAAATTTTCGCCAAAAACTATACATTATCATCTCTTTCTGGACTTCCTTCAGCTTGTCCGTTAATCTTTCATAGTAATAATTAAAGTTACGCATTTCTTTGCTTGTATTGTCATTGGACATCTTTTCCCCTTCTATTTACTTTAAACAATAACTCTTAAACATTCACAGTGCTTCTCTGAATCCCATTAGCGTTGTTTGTCCCTCACTAATGTGTTCCAGATAATCCACATATTTTCCCCAATCCTTAATGAACTTTTGGTCTCTTAAATGTCTGATCTTCCCTGTTAATCTATCCAGTTCCGCGTAGTCTAATAACTTTAATCTCCACTCCTCTATCATTGGGATTTCCTGCTTTTTCCACTTCTGAGCAAATATAACCCTTGCTGCGGTGGCAGCATAGTATACAAATTTACAATCTTTCTTTTTATTTCATTCCCTAATATCCCTAATAGAAAGATTTCAGGTTTTTTTGTGAACGTATACTTCAATACCTTCTTTAGTTCGACATATATTTTTTCCCAAAATTCTCTCACTTTCCCGCACTCCCACCATATATGGTAAAAGGAGCCCTCCTTTTCTTTACACTTCCAACATCTACTGGATACCTTATACATTTTCGATAATTTCACAGGTGTTATGTACCACCTGTAGAACATCTTCATGACATTTTCCTTTACCGTTACACACGCAGTAAAATTTAGACCATCTTTCCATAATTTCTCCCAGTCTTCAAATTGTATGTTATGGCCCATATCTTTAGCCCAACGAGTCATTACTACTTTGACCTCCTCATCCCCTAAGTTCCAATCTAACAATATCCTATACATTTTGGATATTATTTTCACGTCATTGTTTAGGATCTCCTTCTGAAATTTTGAATCTTTGTCTGCATACCCTCTTTCTTTAATATCTTTTCTGAACCTTTCATTGACTTGGAAGTAGTGTAACCAATCATACACCTCACCCTTAACCTGCTCATATGGCTTTAGCTTCCATTTCCCATCTTCTTTAATTGATAGTTGACCATATGTTGCCCAATTACTTCTCATGTTAGTTTTCTTCACACTTATCGCTTCAAGAGGTGAGAGCCAATGTGGGACCTTGGGTTCTAATAGATTTTTATATCTTTCCCATATTTCGATAAGTGGACCTCTAAAAATATGATTTCCAAACCCCTTATGTACTTTCTTTTTCTCATACCATAGGTAGGCATGCCAGCCGAACCTATTATCGAAGCCCTCTAAATCGAGCAGCTCCGTATTCACTAAGTTTGCCCACTCTTTTGTCCAGCAAAGGCATGATGCCTCATAGTATAACTTAAGATCTGGCAGAGCAAAGCCTCCCCTTTCCTTTATATCTGTTAACAGTTTAAACTGAATCCTAGGCTTTTTGCCCTGCCAGATAAATCTTGATAAAACCCTTTGCCATTGTTTGAAGGTTCGGCTCCCCTTAATTATAGGAATGGTCTGGAATAAGAACAATAGTCTTGGTAATACATTCATCTTGATAGTGTTGATCCTTCCCCAGAACGACAATTTCAGTCTTCCCCACATTTCCAGGTCCTTTCTTATTTCTCTCCACATCGGTTCATAGTTGTTTTTAAATAAGTCTATGTTTTTAGGTGTTAACCAGATTCCAAGATATTTCACTTTTTTAACCACCCCTATCTGCGACTGGTGTTGAATTGTTTCTATTATGCTTTGGTCCATATTTTTAACTATCATTTTCGTTTTCCTCTTATTTAATCTGAAACCTGCCACTTCCCCAAACTGGTCTATTTCTTTTAGAATTTCTGCCATTGTAATTGTTGGGTCTTCCGTCATTATTACTAAGTCATCCGCAAAGGCTTTGGTCTTATACACATTTTGTCCAACTTCCACTCCTTTTATTTTTCCATTTTGCCTGATTGAATTTAGAAGGATTTCTAATACCATTATAAATAGTAGCGGGGAGAGTGGACATCCCTGTCTTGTTCCTTTCTGTACCTTTATTTCTTCTGTCACACTGTTATTTATAATCAATTTGGCCTTCTGCTCTGTATATATTGCTTTAACTCCATTATAAAAATCTTTGCCTACTTCCATATGTTCCAAGTTTTTCAACATGAAGTCCCATATCACGTTGTCGAATGCTTTCTCTGCATCCACAAACATCATTATAACTTGTTTGTCAATCCTGACAGATAGATATTCTAACATATTGACTATATTTCTTATGTTGTCCTTCATGTGCCTGCCTGGAAGGAAGCCGGCCTGATCTTTGTGGATAATCTCTGATAATAGACACTTCAGTCTTCTCGCAAGAATTCCTGCAAAGATTTTATAGTCCGTATTTAGCAGCGAGATTGGCCTGTAATTTTTCACCTGAGTTAAATCTGCATCTTGTTTAGGGATGAACGTGATAAATGCCTCTTTCCAGGTCTCCGGAATTTCTCCTTTACTTAAGATATTATTCATAGTCTCTTTCAGGGATTCACCAAAATTGATTTCATCTCTTTATAATAGCCCGCCGTGAATCCGTCAGGCCCCGGAGCCTTTCCCCTCTTTAAGTCTTTAATTGTTTCCTCTATCTCCTCTATTTCAATTGGCATATTCAATCGTTGTTTCTTGTCTGCTGGAATTTTTTGCACCCTTTTATCTTTCAAAAATCTATCTATTCTCCTTAAATTATTTCTCTCCTTATTTTTGTAAAGGCCTCTATAATAATCCAGAAACTCTTTCCGGATTCCTTTTGGATCAGTTATTTCTTCTTCCTCTGCTATAATTCTATTTATTACACCTTGTTCTTTCCTCTTTTAATTTGCCATGCAAGCCATTTGCCTTGTTTATTTGAAAATTCAAAATTGTTTTGTCTTAATTTTTTATGTTCCACTCTACTTCTCTATTTATTATTGTGGCAAATTGGGCTTGTAAGATTTTGATGTTTTCTATTATTTTCTGACAATTAGGTTTCTGGATTAATTTTTCTTCATTATCCATTATCTGCTTTAAGATTTCTTCTTTACCCCTCTCTCTGTTCTTATTTTTAATCGCATTTTGTTGAATGAAAAATCCTCTTATCACTGCCTTGCTTGCGTCCCATACCACATTAATCTTTGTGCCCTTGTCACAGTTATCCGTAAAATAATCTGTTAGCTTTTTTTTTGCATTTTCTACAATCTTCTGGTCATCTAAGAGGTAATCCTTTAGTCTCCATCTAAAAGTTCTTCTTTCAAAACTCTCCAGTTCCAGTTCTATCGGACTATGGTCAGATATTACTTTCGGTCTTATTTCTATTTGTTTAACTCTTGGGCACAATTCACTCGAAATCCAAACCTGGTCTATCCGTGACAGCGATTGGTGTGGCCCAGAGTGGAAGGTGAACTGTTTATCCATAGGGTGTCTGAGGCGCCAGATATCTATCAAGTTGCAGCTTTTTGTCATTGAGAAGAAGGATTTTGGTAATTTCCCTTCTTTACTTGTTCCTTCCCTCAATCTATCCGCCTCTAAAGAGACCACGCCATTCATGTCACCCATTAAAATAATTTTTTGGTCCATGCAATCTAACAGTTTCTCTTCTAGATTTTTGAAAAAGTCTGTCTTGTTACCATTTGGTGCATAAACCCCGATCACGACTATGTTTTCACCTTGCCAATTAATCTGAATCGCCACCATCCTCCCCTCTTCATCTTTAAAGATTTGTTTTGCTTCAATCTTTTTTTAACATACACCACCACTCCCCTTTTCTTTTCCTTATCTGAGGATTCAAATTCATTTCCTAATCTTTTATTAATTAACACTTTTTTATGTCTTTTGGCCACATGCGTTTCTTGAAGACAGATGATATCCAAATTTTTCTTTTTCAGAAATTGTTCAATTTTATTCCTCTTTTTTTTCATTCATTCCATTAATATTCCAAGTCCAAATTTTTAACCCCATAGTACCTGACATCCACCTACGATTTATTTATCCTTTTAAATTCGCTGGTTCTTCTTCTTCCCTTTCTTCCTCTTCTTCTGATCTACTTCCACTCGACTCCTCTCCTTCCTCTAATTTTGAATCTCTTGGTGATCCTCCCTCTGCTCCCTTTACTCCATTCTCCTCTGATCTCAGCTCTTTATATTTCCTTAAAAATTTACCAGTTTCTTCTAAGTTAGATAGTCTATGTCTCTTGCCTCTATAAGCGAATGAAATTCCTTCAGGAAACTCCCATCTGAATTCGATTTTATTCTTTTTTAGTGTCTGTGCTAGTGATTTATAACAATCTCTTCGTTTAAGTAGTCTAATTGGAATATCTTTGAAAATGATTATGTAATTTCCCTCTATATTCAGCCTCTTTTCCCTATTCTTTTGTAAAATCTTGTTTCTCATTTCTTTATCTCTAAATGTAATCAGGCAATCGCCTGTGAATTTCTTTGCTTTTGTTGTTTTTACACGCATTCTAAATGCATTCTGCACATTTTTTGCCATTTCCTCTACTGGTATGTCTAGCCATTCCGCCAGCTCTGTTATTAATCTTTCCTTAATATTTTCCCCTTGTATCTCTGGAACGGCTCTCAATCTAAGATTCACTTCCCTCTGTCGCAGTTCATTCATTGCTATAATGTCCTTCATCTCCTCCTGTGCTTTATTTAAATCCATCATTTCTACTTTAATCTTATCCTTATCCCGCTTAATATCCTTTAATTCCAATCTTGTCTTTTTATTCCTTCCTCAACATTCTGCGTTCTCCTAGATACTTCTTTTATTTGACCTTTAAGTTCACTAACTGTTTCATCCATTTTTTTGTCCATTTTCCCAATTTTATTATCCACTTGTTCTAATTTATGTTCTAAATTATTTTGACTCTGTTTAATTTCCACTAGCATCCTCATGATATCTGTCTTGGAGTCTGTCTCTTGTTTGGACCCCCTCCTTTCACCAGGGGTCCCCCCATTCATTCCTTTCTTCGCTGTATGAGACATCATATATTCTTATATTTCCTTAAATTACCTCGTTCCCATGTAACGCCCCTCACCCCCTCCACACCCTTCGTCTCTCCCTCCCCACCAAAGTTCCTTTTTTCTTTTTATTATTGACACTAGACAAAGCTATTTCTTCCCCATATAAGTATATACCATTCATTCAATATATAGTTCTTGTTGTGACGCCTTCTTGCCTCTATTCAGGCTATTCCAAGTGTCCAAGTGTCCAGTTGAACACACGTCCAATAAAGGGGTTGTTGTTGTTTTCCTAGGACGCAAAGGCTGCAATGCTGTATACCCGCTTACTTGGGAGTAAGTCAAGGGAGGCGTGAGTTTTGAGTAAGCAGTGCTTAGGGTTGCAATGAACGCCTGCGTTCTTCCAAGCAGCCAAATCCTCTGGCTACGAGAGGTTCACAGTCTCGAGAAGAGAGATGGGGGGGTGTGCAGACAGATGCTTCCTTCCTATCCCTGCTTTAAAGTTGGGTTTTATATTAGTAGACAGCTTGAGCTTCGAGTCTATGTGATGCTCAAGTGCCTCTCTTTCTTGCCAGGCAGATCAGTTTCAATACTTGAGGGCACACTTGACAAAAAACAATGAAGGGAAAGGCAACAGCAGCTTCCGCGTG